AGAGAGAGAGAGAGAGAGAGAGAGAGAGAGAGAGAGAGAGAGAGGAGAAAGACCGAGACCCAAATTGAAATCCTGGTAAAAGAGAATTAAATTAAATTTACACCTCTCCATTTGTAGGCACTAAATTGTCCTCCTAAAAGATTGTGCAGTCTGTCCTCCTGCCTGCTTTTCAGAGACGTCTGGGTGCAGACTCCTGCTGTTCTTTTAATGAACTAGTACTTGTCAGGTTGACATTCAACTATAACAATGGCATCTTATAGTTTTGAGCTTGCATTTTTTGCTTTATCAGTATTGATTGATTAATGGCCTTCAGACTGGTTTTGGACACTGTGCTCATATAAAAAGGACAGTGCCATCCTGGCTGTCCTCATAGCTACCTGTTCGATTGTTGTGAGGGTTGTGCAGTTGTGGTCCTAAGTACATGAGGAGTGTTTCTGAGATGCTCTGATCCCAGGTCTTTGGGGAATTTTTACACTGGGGAACATTTGCATAGACTGCCTAGACCCCTACCAATGCTGATGACAGCCTTATTGGTTTTGTTGTTGATCCATCATCTCTTGTAGCCCATTCCAGCCTTGAACTCCTGGTCCTCCTTCCAAGTGTTGGGATTACAGTTATGTGGTGCTGGGTATGGAACCTGGGGCTTTCTGAATACTAGTTAAGGACTCTACCACCTGTACCATATCCCTACTCCAACCGCCAGTACTCTACTTTTTGGATTCACCCTTATTGTATGTGTCAGAAACTTTTTTCCCTGAATATTATATTTATGTAACATGTATTTGTTTATCCACTAGTATGACTGGGCGTCTCAGTATTTCTAGTTGGGACCTTTTACAAATCATACTATGTATGAAACTATACTATGTGTGAAAGTATGTACTTTCACATACAGGTCATATTTTCATTTCTCTTGGGTAAATATGAGCAGAAGGGGTAGATTATATAATTAGTGCATTATAAATTTTGACTTTATAAGAAACTACTTATGATTTAAACAATAAAAAATTAATAAAAATAGAGTACCAAATAATTTCCCAAAGTGGTGTGTCATTTTATTTCCCTGCTAACAGTATGTGTTGTTGTAGCTGCTTTGCAGCCTTGCTAGCACTCACGCTGGTCTTTTTAGATTTTCCCCCTCTGAGCGGACATGCATTGATACTTTTATGTGGCCTTAATTTGAATTTCACTAAGAACAGTCTTGACAAAGAGCGTTCTTGAAGTTTGTTTTATTTTCCTCTGTAAGACTACAGACATACTTCTATAATTAAGGTTAATTTTTTTCCTTTAGGTTTTTTGAAAGCGATTGAAAGGGATAATCCAAAATGCCTGAAAATCCTGCAGCAGGTATAGAAGCTATAACTTTTTATTGTTCAATTACTTGATTTAGAAGTGGATGGTGAGATGGTGTCTAATGTGAGCTCTGATCGCCTTTCTCTAACAAAGAGAAAATGCAGGTGCTACAGGTCCTTGACCGCCTGAGACTAAGACTGCAGGAGAAGGGAGACACGACGCAGAACGAGAAGCTGTCTGTGTTCTACGAGACGCTGAAGAGCCCTCTCTTCAACCAGATCCTTACTCTCCAGCAGTCCATCAAGCAGCTGAAGGGACAAGTGAGTGATTCCTTGGTGGTTTCAGATCAGTGGATGAGTATAGGAGGATTGTCACTCTTAGGTTAGCAACTGTGCATGGGGCCTGCAAGCTGTGGGCAGTCTCGGTGGATGGTGTAAGTGTGGATGAAGTTTATGTTGGGCTTTGGAGTGTGATAAATAAGTAATGATCAAGTGCTTTAGGATCTCAACATTTTCTTGAAAATTATAAAATAGCTTCTAATTTTATTTCTTTGTTATATGGTGTTGATATTGAGCCCAGGGCCTTGTGTGTGCTAGGAGCCTCCCACTGCACCCCATTCTCAGCTCTTGACATTTATTATCTATTTATTTACATTTTCATTACTTTGTGTGTGTGTGTGTGTGTGTATGTATGTATGTAGTATGTATATGGGCATGTGTGGTAGTCAGAGGACAACTTGTGTAAGTTGATTCCCTCCTTATACAATGAGGGTCCCAGAGATCCAACTCTGGTCATCAGACGTGGCAGCAAGTGCCTTTATCTTCTGAGCCCTCTTACCTACTCTCTCTGTCTTCTCTTTCTCTTTTTAATAAACAGGTATATTGATTGATTTTCATGTGCATGTTTGTGTGGAAGGTGCATGTGGAGGCCTGAGGACAATCTGAAGTATTGTGCATGGGTTTCAGGAATCTGAGCTCAGGACATCAGCATGGCATAGCAAACACATTTAGTCAGAGTCCTCTCCTGGCCCTGTTATTTATTTAATAATGGATTGTCTTTTATTACTTATTTGTCAATTTCATGCAAGTAAACAGTATATCTTGAACACATTTTTCCTAGCTTCTAACAAATTCTCTCCAGGTACCTTCATTATGTTCTTATGTCCTTATGTCCTTTTTCCTGCTTGCTTCATTCTTTTTTTTTTTTTTTAACTCACTGAGTTCTATTAATACTGCCTGTTGGGGTGCTTAGCTTGATCTTGTTTGTGTTTGATATCTATTCTTTTTGAAAACATTAATTCCATTATTGTTTATCTATTTGAGACAGGGTCTTACTGTATAGTCCTGGCTGTCCTGGAACTCACATAGACCCACTTGCCCATACTTGCAAAGTGCTGGGATTAAAAGGCTTGTGCCACCGTGCAAGGCCCCCATTTGTAACATTTTTACCTTATACTCTCACTCTTTCAGCCCCTCCCGTGTCCTCCTCCTACTCCACTTAACTTCGTTACCTCTTCTCCTTTAATTGTTCATATCCATACACATATGTATATATGAGTACAGTCCACTGCTTCCATTTAGTGTTGCTCATATGTATATATGTTGGGGGATGGCAATTTGGGATTTTTAATCTATCAGGGTTCTGTCTCTGAAGAAGACTGGCTCTCTCTTTTACCTGCCACTCATCGAGGGTGGGACCTTCTAAGATTCTCCCTATCCATGTTGATCGTTATCATTATGTAGGTCTTGTTTAGGTGACCATATTCTAAGGATTCAACTTATGCAGCTCTTTGTCATACATATAAGATACTATTTTCACATTTATTATTATTTTTTAATGTCTATGGATGTTTTGCTTACATTTTATATTTGTATCACCTTGTGTGTGCCTGGTACTTGCAGAGGTTAGAATAGGGTGTTGGATTCCCTAGACTAGAGTTAGAGATCGTTGTGAGCCACCATGTGTGTGCTGGGAATTGAACCCAGATCTTTTGGAAGAGCAGTAAGTGCTCTTAACTACTGAGCCACCTCTCCATCCCTCTTTACCATTTGTTATTAACATCGTTTTTATTCTACTGTGTGGGCACTTGTATTAGCCAGTGTTTTACAAAAATTACTTCTTGTAATGCTAGGGTGCTCTTTTTTAGAATGTTTAAGCGGCCTTGTGATTTACTTGCCGTTAATATTATACAAGAATGCTGAGTGCCTCAATTTTCATATTCACCAAGTGGGGTAATGAATGACATCAGTTGGACTATTACAAAAGATTCAATGAGATACTATGATATCCATGTAGGAATCTTGTCTAGTGCCTGGCTCTTAGAAATAATGATTAAACACTGTTGCTTTGAGTATTATTGTTTGCCTACTATGGTTTGTTTGTGGCTCCTCTGTGGAGATATATAGATAAATGCAAAAAGGCCCAGTATCTTACATAGGTGTGTCAAGAATAAATTTTAAAAATAAATATTTTTTGTAATATTAAAAAACTTTTGCCTTAAGAACATTCTGATTTGCTTATAGGTACTTTGTTTTCTTTAATTAGGAATTTATTTTGATGGGTGGTGGTGGTGCACACCTTTAATCTTAGCACATGGGAGGCAGAAGCAGATGGATCTCTTTGAGTTTAAAATAGCCTGGTCTACAGAACTAGTTCCAGGACAGCCAGGGCTACACAAAGAAACCCTGTCTCAATAAAACAAAACAAAACAAAAAGACCCATTATTTTAGTTATGTGCATGTAAGTGTGTGGGGAGTAGCAGAGGTGTCAGATTCATTGGAGCTGGAGTTACAGCTGGTTGTGAACTGCTGATATGGGTGCTCTTGTACTTGGAAGAGTAGTATAACTACTGAGCCATCTCTCTCCACACACACACACACACACGGTTGTGAGCCACCATGTGTGTGCTGGGAATTGAACCCAGATCTTTTGGAAGAGCAGCAAGTGCTCTTAACTACTGAGTCATCTCTCCATCCCCCTTGTTAATGTTGCTTTAGTCTACTGTTTTGGCACTTCTATCGGCCAGTGTTTCTCTCTCTCTCTCTCTCTCTCTCTCTCTCTCTCTCTCTCTCTCACACACACACACACACACACACACCCCTACAACCTACCTCTCACATTTTCTTTTCCCCCTCTCCCTGCCTGCCTGCTTGCCTCCCTCCCTCCCTTCCTTCCTTCCTTCCTTCCTAAGAAAGAGTTTCACTCTGTAGCTTTGGTTGGCTTGCTAAATATAGAGAGGAGGTTGACCTTTTACTCATAGAGGTCTTCCTGCCTCTGTGTCCGAATACTGGGCTTAAAGTCATGTGCCACCACGCTGGCCCTTTACTTCTTTAATATGTATATAAATTATACATCTAATGCAATAGATAAGAGATTGTTTCTTTTCTATAGACTTCCATTGATTATTTTCTTATCTTTCCAACAGCTTAGCCATATTCCTTCGGATTGTTCAGCCAACTTTGAATTTTCTCGGAAGGGTTTGTTAGTGTTCACGGATGGTTCCATTACAAATGGGAATGCCCACAGACCTTGTAGTAATTTAATTGCATCTGGATTATTGCCTTGGAACCCAAAGTCAGGAAATGAAGACTTTAACTCAGTCATTCAGCAGATGGCTCAGGTAAGGTTGTGTCATGTCACTGAGTATTTAGCTTCATTAGTTTTTCTTCTGTTTCACTTTTTAAAGGAGAATTATTCTTTTTGTCTTAAAATTACTATGTATTTTTTTTGCTTATACTGGTAGGAGGAATTGTATCTATTCCTAAGCAGTGTGTTGGAACTTGTCATTAAATTACAGGAGAGTAGGATATGCTCGCAGCAGCCTGCAGCCCAGCAGCATTCTAATGACTGAGGCAGGGGACCTCCAATTTGAGGCCAGCTTGAGCTGCATAGACAGATGCCCTGTCTGAAATGAAAAGAAAAAGGAAACAAACAAGACAGAACACCATAAGAAAATTTCTGTTCTACTTTTATATCAAAACGGAATTGTGAATTACAATTAATATAGTTTGGAATATCCAGGAAAATATTAGAATGGATAATTTAACTGTAGCCCCTAATACCTACCAAGAAGTAAATAATAGACAATTAAAATTTTTGACTTTTTAAAGAAAATTTAGAATTCTTGTTGAAGACTTGAGATTAGTTGCTGGCACTCACGTTGGGTGACTCACAAATGCCTATTATAACCCCAGCTCTAGGGATCCAGCCCTCTTCTGGCCTCACAGGCGGAGGCAGTTCATATGCACATACCTGTGCACAGATTTATACCCATACACATAATTCAAAATAAAGTCAATCTTAAAAATAAGAAGCTGGGTTTGGAGATACACACCCTTTAATTCTAGTACTCGGGAGGCAGAGGCAGGAGTATCTCAGTGAGTTTGAGACCAGCCTGGTCTACAGAGTGAGTTCAGAACTGCTGGGAGTGCACAAAGCACTCTGTATCAGAAAACCAAAAGAGGAAATAAGTCAGTAAGTAAGTTAGTAAGTAAATAAATAAATAAGTTTGGGTTTGGGAAGTAAAGGAAATTATTTCAAGTCATGGTAGTGGAAAAATATCCTAATTTTTTAATGACTTTAAACTCCATCTGTTCTGCGTGAGGCCCTTGTGATGTGATTGTTTTTTTGAAGCCCTCACACTGTACATGTAGTTGTTAACAAAATGGTGAAATATTCTGCAGTCCTGGTACTGTGCAGCCTTTTGAAATGATCAAGTGAATGGATTCACTAATTCATTACTGTAGATTTAAAACAGAATGATATAAATGCAGCTGGTTCTGACTGAGCTGAACACAAACATACTTCTGGCATATCTAATTTACTTTCCTTTTTAAAAATGTGTTTTGTATCAAGGGGAATTTAAAGAAATTTATGCACAAAGTAATTGAGAATTTGCTATGGGTAAGAGTATTTGTTTTCAGTTTTTGTCCAGCGCAGAATCTATCTCATAATGTGGATGAATTGTAAAATGCTTCTCAGTGCTGTACTCTGTGCTGTGCTGAAAACAGTCAGGTTAAAAGGTTTCCAGAGCCAGCATATCACCAGAACGCTGAGCATGTTCAGACTGATAGCTACAACGTATGAGAAGTGGCTGTGTGCTGCGCCGTTTGGTTCTGTGGAAAGGTGAAGTCTGGATGCACTTCATGGTTCTTTTTTCTTTCTGACTTTCCCCCCTTCATTAGGGTCGGCATGTTGAATATATAGATATAGAACGCCCTTCAACCGGAGGCCTTGGATTCAGTGTGGTGGCCCTGAGAAGCCAAAGTTTGGGATTAATTGATATCTTTGTGAAGGAGGTTCATCCAGGGAGTGTAGCTGACAGGTGAGGAAGTTCATTTTGTACTTGGTCCATGTTTTCCTGACAGCTCTGAAAGTGTTACTGTAAAGAGAATAAGAAACTAGCAACAAGGGGCTGGAGAGATGTCTCAGTGGTTAAGAGCATTGCCTGCTCTTCCAAAGGTCCTGAGTTCAATTCCTGGCAACCACATGGTGGCTCACAACCATCTGTAATGAGGTCTGGTGCCCTCTTCTGGCCTGTAGACATACATGCAGACAGAATATTGTATACATAATGAATGAATAGATAGATAGATAGATATCTAGATATCTAGATATCTAGATAGATAGATAGATAGATAGATAGATAGATAGATAGATAGATAGATAGAAAAGAAACTGGCAGCAAAAATAGTAGCAGTAGCACCCAGTGCTGGTTAGCTATCTCTGCATATACCTGCTATTATGTTTGAAGGGTTCCACACAAAGTTTTTGTGTCTTTGATTTCTAGTTTAGTTAACTATTCAGATAGCAGTAGTGGCAGAATATGATTACAAAATTCTGTCATTTTTTTTTCCACATTTATTCTGTCTGTTTATAGATGATTACTTCTAGTCTCTTTAACTCAATATTTAAAATAATAGATCCACTGGGTTATGATCCAAATAGTATAAATCTTCCATTTTGAAGGGATGTTTAATACAGTCAGTGTGTTTCCGTCATTCCCATTATTCTAGATAATAGATCCATTGGATTATAATCCAAATAGTATAAATGTTAAACCATTTTGAAGGAATGTTTAATATATTCAGTGTGTTATTGTCGTATCCATTATTCTAGAAACAGTAAAAATTCTTGAAAATTCATCCACTAGAAAAAGAGCCCCTACCTGTTGTTTATGTTTACGGCCATTTCTAGCTTCTTCCTCCTTTCATCTTCTGGCAACAACTTGCTTTTTAAGAAGAGCATCTATCTATAAAGTTCTGGAACATCGTGGGAAGTGCTGGTATAATAATGGGTTATCCTTCCTGACTGTGAGTTGGATGTTCTGATACACGATGCTCTTATCTATGATGTGAGAGTCGGTCTTCCTTGCAGCCTGACCTTCTGCTGTGTAGTCAGTGAGCTTCTGGTAGTGTACACACGTCTCTAGCGTCAGCATTTACTTCTCAGTTCCTTTACAACTGATTGTGAGGCTCAGTCTTAGTCCATTTTCCTAAAACAGAATGCCCGAAGTTTTAAAACTTATAACGAACAGAAATTTATTGGTTTACAGCTCTGGAAGCTAAGAAGACCATGTCAAGGCATTTACAACTGACTTGGGCTTCTTGCTGTTTCATCACGTGGTAGAAGGCAAGGTGAAGCAGGACAACAAGAAATTAAACTTGCCTTTTGTGAAGACACCAATCTTATCCATGAGTGGATAGTCCTTACAACCTCATCTTCCCTTCGAAATCCCATCTTGATACTTTACAATAGAAATTAAAATTTCCACAGGAGTTTAGAGGCATGGACGTTGAAACCATAGGAGAAACCTTTCTAAATACCCTGTTGACATCTTGTTACCCAAAATCTTTCCTTTATGTGAAACTGAAATTGAATACATGCAGTAAAAGTAATACCAGCACCTCTGAGACAGATTATCTGGGGGCAGAGTCTATTCTTACAGACTCATTAGTCAAAGGAGTCTTGTAGTTTGAGGCTGGATGTAGCTTTTTCTCTCTAACTGTGCAGTCTTGCTCAAGTGACTTAATTTTTTAAGTTTTAGAGTCTCATGTGAAACGGCAGTGTTAACATGAGTTGGATGGTGTAAGAGAAGCATAAGTGCTGGTGGGTACTCTGATTCACAGGATGCTAGAGCCAGCTCCATTTGCGTGTTCAGGCTGTCACAGTACTTAACGCATTCTTCTTTTCTTGTATGATTAGGGATCAAAGATTGAAGGAAAATGACCAGATTTTGGCCATTAATCACACCCCATTGGATCATAATATTTCCCATCAGCAGGCGATTGCATTACTACAACAAACCACTGGGTCTCTGCGTCTGGTTGTGGCCAGGGATGTGGGCCACACACAGGGCCGCACTTCCACCAGCTCAGCTGATACATCTCTGCCTGAAATGGTGGGTCATAAGCTTGGGAACATATTCATTCTAAATTATGTTATTCACTATAATAATAGTTGGTAGTCATTGAAAGTCCTTTCCATTATTCTAGGTCCAGAAAGGTGATCATATATTTAAATGACTACATTACAAAATGTTTATTGGAGAAAATTTATTTTGTTTTTGTCTTTTTAATGTCTGGGGTTTTTTTGTTTGTTTGTTTTTTTAATGGTTAGTTTTCTTACTGGAGATTATTATATAGATGCCAAATCAAATATTATTTTTAACTTATTTGGTGGTAAGATGTCTTGTGTTCTTTGATGTTATAGTAAGTTAATGTGTGTGTAGGAGGAGGGGGAAACATGCTATGTAGCCCAGACTGGCTTTGAACTCACAATTCCCTTGGTTCAGCCTCCTGAGTGCTAGGATTATGGGTGTTCCAGGACAGCCAGGGCTACACAGGAAAACAAAACGGAAAAAAAAAAAAACAAAAAAAAAACAAGGAAAAAATTCTCGTTTTGTTTTGTGTGTGTGAGCAGGGACAAGCATGTCACAGTGTGCTTATTAAGGAGAGAGAGCAACTGAGTTGGTTCTTTTCTTCTATCATGTGGGTCTGGGAAGTTGAACTCAGGGTGTCAGGCTGGTAAGCAGGCACCTTTATCTGTGGAGCCCCATCTTGACTTGAAAAAAATCAATACTTCTTTTATCTTTTAAGCTTGTTACATATTGTAAATTCTAAAAGCACAAAAATTGGCTGGGCAGTGGTGGCTCTTGACTTTAATTCCAGCACTCCGGAGGCAGAGGCATGTGGATCTCCGTGAGTTCGTGGCCAGCCTGGTCTACAGAGTGAGTTTCAGTACAGCCAGGGCTACCAAGAGAAACCCTGTCTCGAAAAACCAAACCAAAACAAAAAAAACAAGAATGACTTGATAATGTAGAATATAAAAATTAAGTAATGAAATGACTGCACCATCTTAAGGGATATTTTGTTCCGCAGTTGAAATTTATGAAAGTATGTGCGTTTGTCATGGGAGTCTGACCAAGGAAAATTGCTCTGCCTTTTTGCATGATTATGTTGCTAGTATTTTGAGTTTGGAGAAACTCTGTCTTCTTTCATGAGTGTTCTAAATTAGTTTGTTTGCCACATGGGTTTGGGAACCCTGCCTTAGAGGCAGTGAGGAAATGCGGAAAGGACTGACTCATAGACACATGTACACAAACAGCTGGGATTGGGTGGACTGGACTCTCTGATGGAGAAGCTGCAGCACCCTGGAAGATCAACATGGTTCTTTTATACAGTTGAACAGGGAGGTGGGGCTATTGCATGCAGCTGAACAGGAGAAAGGCTTAGCTAGTCTGTGGAGGAGCTTCGGGGAAAGCGACGATGCACATGTTCTGCCCACTTCATCAACCATCTGCATGTAGACCAGAGGAAGACTTCGCTATTTCTCTGAGCCTGGTGAGGGCTTTGCCACTCCCGTGAGCCTGAGACATGGGTCCTTGATATGGCCATGTCCACTCAGAATATTACTCTCTCCCTATACTTTTTAGTCATATTAAACTTTGGTTCTTCACAATGTTGACAGATTAATTTTCCTAAGTCATTGCTTCATTAGTCTTGTTATTCTTTCCAATCTTTGCCTCATTCTGTTGCCTAACTCGGCTTTGCTCTTGTATTTCCCTCTTATTGAATGCTTGCTTTCTTTGTATTACATTTTTATGAGCTTGGTCTTGTGTAGTTTAGGTTTTCCTTGAACTCATTATGTAACAGAGGCTGGCTGTGAATTCCTGATCTTCCTGCATCTACCTCCTGATTACGGGGATTATAGGTGTGTGCCTCTAGTACTTGTAGTAAACTTTAAATTTCTGCTGTCATTAAACTTTTCATGATTCTTCATGCATATTTCCTTTTATGAACCTTCCTTTCCCCCAGCTCCCTGAAATCTTTGTAACATTGTGCCTATCTTTCAGCAAATACATATTCATTGGTTCCCTAATGTACCCTGGGCACAGATTAAGAAATGTTTCTTGTCCTTTTTGAGTTGTAGTGTTGTATGATCTGTATTTCAATTATTTATGCCTATTTTCTCAATTGAATTATAATATCCTATGGGTGAGACTCTCTACCTTGCTCTAATAATAGTATACCCTCTATCATCTATCCTCTATCAATTGATAGATACCTCTACCAATATATGGATATCTTTGTCTATATAGGTAGTTGTCTCCATTAATTGTATGAATTTTCAGTTTCTTGCAAATCTGTTATATATTATCATACAGGAAACCTAAGAATCTGTGGCAAACCAACACTGACTCTCCTAACTTTCCATTCATGTGTAGGTGTGTTGGGGCCACACTGAAGAAGTTGAGCTCATTAATGATGGCTCTGGATTAGGTTTTGGGATAGTTGGAGGAAAGTCAAGTGGCGTGGTTGTGAGGACTATTGTTCCTGGAGGATTGGCAGACCGAGTAAGTTGACTTTGTTTTATCATTTTGCTTTTATAAAATTTGACTTGTTATGATTTGAAATCAATTTTATAGCATGAGTTGGTAGGATACATGACTCAATAATTTGAGTTTAAGTATAACTTACAACACTTTATAGCATAAATTTGCTTTATTTAAACAATTTCTAACTCAATTTTTTTGGCCTCTAATTAACAGGGTTTTGGTTATATAAGAAGAAAGTATTTTTATTATAAGGAATTGTTAATGAATATTTACATTTTAAACGTGTGTTATTCTTCATCATGTCTTTTAATGGCTCAATGGTAGAATCAATTCAGTGAACATATGCATTTGTTCTGGGGTAGGCGACATGGCTCAGCAGCTAAGGATGCTGTGAAGCCTGGCAGCCTGAGCTTGATTCTGGAACTGATGTACTGATAGAAGGAGAGAACTAACTCCACAGCTTTGTCTTCTGACTTCCACATGTGCACTGTGACACACACTCCCCCATTAATTATAACTTAAACAAAATCTATTTGTCCAACATTGCACATGTAAGATTTCACTTGTTTATTTTCTGGTATTATATGTCAAGTGTGTACCTTTGTTGTTTAGCAGTGTTTCAACAAATAGGCCATGTAAGAACTTGACAACTTTCTTTTCCACTTAACTTTACATGGAAGAAAATGTTAAATACTATATTTGTTTTATTTGTTTATTTATTTATTTATTTTTTATTTTTTTATTTGTTTGTTTATACAAATTTCCACTTCCTCCCCTCCTCCCCATACCCTCCCATTCCCCCCACTCCCTCTCCTCCTCCCTCTCCAGTCCAAAGAGCAGTCAGGGTTTCCTGCCCTGTGGGAAGTTCAAGTTCCTCCCCCCTCCCTCCAGGCCTAGGAAGGTGAGCATCCAAACAGACTAGGATCCCGAACAGCCAGTACATGCAGACGAAACAAGACCCAGTGCCATTGTCAATGGCTTCTCAGTCAGCCCCCCTGTCAGCCACATTCAGAGAACCCGGTTTGATCACATGCTCGTTCAGTCCCAGTCCAGCTGGCCTTGGTGAGCTCTCATTCGATCAGTCCCCTTGTATCAGTGGGTGAACGCACCCCTCGCGGTCCTGATTTCCTTTTTCATGTTCTTCCTCCTTCTGCTCCTCATTTGGACCTTGGGGTGCTCAATCCGGTGCTCCAATGTGGGTCTTCGTCTGTATCGCCATCCATCGTCGGATGAAGTTTCCCTCTGGTCCTGCCTATCTTGCTCACGTTTTCCCTCCTTCTGCTTCTCATTTGGATCTAGGGAGTTAAGTCCAGTGTTCCAATATGTGTCTCTGTCTCTGTCTCCATCCATTGCCAGGTAAAGGTTCTATGGTGATATGCAAAATGTTCATCGGTATGGTTATGGGCCAAGGTCAGTTCAGGCACCCTCTCCCCTGCTGCCCAGGGAAGAATCTGGGGACCTCTCCTTGGGCCTGAGAACCCCCTCCAGAAACAAGTCTCTTTCCAACCCTAAAATGGCTCCCTTAGTTGAGATATGGAAACAGTTCAAGATTTGAAAACTGAAATGGAGGCAATGAAGAAATCACAAACCGAGGGCCTATTTGTTTTTATTTATTTGTTTATTAGTATATATGTGTCTTTGTTTGTGTATGTCACAAGTGTGTGGGTACCCATGAAAGCCAGAAGAGAGTGTGTGGTATTCCATAGGAGTTAGAAACACTTGTGAGCCTTCTGTATAGGTGCTGGGAACCAAACTGTGTCCTCTGGAAGACTTGTGAGTGTAAGAGCTAGTCATCTCTCCAGCCTCCCATGACTAGATTTTTAGAAATTGTTGTAGAAGTTTGAGTTTGAGCTCATGCTGTTTAAAATGCTCATGGTAATCCAGAAGTAACTTTACTTCTGTAATCAGAAAACACATCAATTTTCACTGACTATTATCTGTCTCCTTATAAACATACCCATCCTAATAAATGGTTAAGTGAACATGATGAATTTATTGAACAGATTCAGCTTTGAGACAGGTAGGTTCCTCAGCTCCTTAGTTCTCACAGGTGGGCTCCAACTCGGAATTCTCTAACCCCACCCTGTCCTTTCTGCATCCAAGTATATTTATTTGTAGAAGTTCTTAATGTTTGGTCTATGGTTACCTTGGGGGTCTCATGACTTTCATGTGTCTTTGAGATCAAAGCAATTCGTGTAGTAGTAATAATAATAATTACTGTTATTATTTCTTTTCACTTTTGTTTGTACCTACAGAACAAAAGAAGAGGGAAACTAGAACTAATGGGAAATTAATGCAGAATAAGACAGGGGCCCCAGACTCATTACAGCTGTCAAATTCATTATATGGTGCAGTAAAAATGATTGTCAGTAAACTTTGACCTCTCAGTGTATGTGTGAGGAGTCCTGTTTGATTGTTTTAAAGCATTTGAGTGAATTAGCCACTTAATTAAAAAAAAAATATGGGGGTAAGGGTGGGAGAAATGGCTTAGTAGTTAAGACCTACTTGTTGTAGAGATCCTGAGTTGAACTCTCAGCATTCACATGGTGGTTCATAACCATCTATAACTTAAGTTCCAGGGAATTCAACACCCTCTTCTGACTCCACAAGCACATGTATTGCACATACATACATGCAGGCAAAACACTCAGACACTTAAAGTAAAATAAATCTAAAAAACTTATTTAAAATATACATTGTTCAAAAATTTGAAACAACCAACATAAAGACAGTGATTATTTTCCTCATCTTAAACTTTTTGTACCTTTTCCCTGTCTTTAAAATTTCTTTGAATATAAATGTGCTTTGAGGACTAGTGAGGTGGCCTAGTAGGTAAGAATGCTTGCTCTGCAAACAAGAGGACCTGAATTCAAATCCCCAGAACCCATGTAAAAATCCAGGTAGGTGTGGCTTTCTTTGCCTGACACTGTGCTATGGGGAAGGAGATGAGAGGCTGCTGGTCTTGCTGCCTGCCAGGCTACCTCCACGTTCAGTGAGGGATTGTGTCTCAGGGTAAGAAAGTAAAGAGTGATAGAGCAGGATACCCAGTGAGCTCTTCTGCTCTCCACACACATGCAAAGATGTATGCACCTGAGTATACATATACATACCATACACACAACACACGTGTGTGACTAGAATGAGAATAAACATTGTGTGTGTGTGTTTTTAAACCATACCTATAGTGGATGGTGGAAAAATGGCTCCGTTTTTAAGAGTGCTGGGGATCCAACACCCTCTTCTGACATCTAGAGACACCAGGCATGCATACATGTAGGCAAAACACTCTTACACATAAAACAGAAAATATTAAATAAATACTTTGTGTGTGTGTGTGTGTGTGTGTGTGTGTGTGTATAGCACACTGTATCTTAGAGTCTGAGCATGGAAGACAGAAGAGGGTGTGGGGTCCCAGAAGTTTGGGTAACAGGCATTGGAAAGATAGTGGGCTACTGCATGGGTGCTGAGGTTTGAACTCCAGTCCTCAGGAAATTGCAACAAGCATTCTCAACTGTTGAGCCATTTTCCATTCTGTGAAATAAAATAAATCTTAAAATTGTTTATTTTTTGTAACCTAAAAGGAATAAGACATTATAGAAGATTCTTAAGTTCTCTCTCCCCGTCCCCTTCACCCTAGAAATTTTGATAAGCTTTGCTAGATGGAATGACATTGCAAAGTGCAAAGTGCAGCAGTTATTTTGAAAAACAAAGAACCAAATAAATTTAAATGAAATCAAATAAGTTCCTTTACTGTAAGAATTTTCTGAGCTTTTTAATATACTAATGTATGTTATGAGTTTTCACAAGGACACCGTGATGTGCAGAGTTTCCCAGCTTAATCCCATTGAGGCACTGTTGGGAAAAGCCCAAGTCTGATTCTCACCCTTTCCTGGAAGGGATCATCACTATTTCAGATCATCTAGGAGGGGCTAGGGGGCCTGTCCATCACAGATTTGTAATGGAGAAGCAGGAACTTGTGCCAAATATTGTCATCTGCCTAATATACATCATTTTAATGTAATCCTCAAAACAGTCTTAAGTTTTATTTCCAAATCATAGGTATGGAAACTTAAGAAATTGTCCAAGGTTGTACAGCTAGAGAGTGACAGAGCTATTTTTATTTCTGCTAATGACAGATAAAATCTTTCAGTTCCTCTTGCTGTAACCATCCTGTAGCACCCTAGTACCCAGTCTTACTATGTTCTCTTGAATATGTTTTTTCAGCACGCCTACATCCTAAGCTAGTGCAGTAGCTACTTTTCTCATTGTTACCACCAAATACCATCATAATGGAAGAAGGCATGGCAGAGTTCATGGCGGTGTGAACATCCAGCTAGGACTCCTTCTATCTGGATAGACTAGAAAGCAAAGAGCAGGGAACGCTGGTGCTCAGCTGACTTTCTCCAGGTTATTCAGTGCAGGACCCCAGCTATGGGATAGTGCCTTTTACGTCCAGCCAGTCTTCCTTATATCTCTCTGGAAACACCCTCACAGACATTCCCAGAAATATGTCTCCTAGGTAATTCCAAATTAAGTCAAATTTGCAAGGAAGATGAGCCATCCCAGAGATCCTCTCTGAAAGGGAAAAGAGTAGCAAGGTAACTCAAAAACTGGGTAGAACTATACTGGAGAGATGGCATAGCCCTTACTGCTCAATCATGAGGACCAAACTTCAGATTCCAGCACCCACATTGGACAGCTTACAGATGCCTGTAACTACAGCTCCAAGGGATTAGGTAACCCCTTCTAGCCTCCTTGGACACCCACACACATGTCTATTTGCATTCTCTCTCTCTCTCTCTCTCTCTCTCTCTCTCTCTCTCTCTTTCATATACACACACATACACAGAGAGAGAGAGAGAGAGAGAGAGAGAGAGAGAATATCAGACAAATAAAACCTTGAATCACAGATCTGCTATTATTCTGGTCAAACTGATTCTGGTAGATCTGAGACTACCTTGAGGACAACACGTTTACAATGTGTATCCTGTGGGAGCTGATAGCATCTCAGAGCTCAG